TGGCATGCTGCAGTCCATGGGGTTGTGAAGAGTTAGACACTACAGAGCAACTGAACTGAATACAGGTCTGTCTTTGCTTTTGGAACATCTTCCTGTTGTTGTTTAGTCATTAAGTCACGTCCAACTCTTTACAACCCCATGAACTGTAGCCTGCCAGGCTCCTTTGTCCATGGGATTTTCCAGGCAAGAATACTGGAGTTGGTTGCTATATCCATTTCCAGGGGATCTTCCTGACCCAGGGAAGGAACCCACACCACCTGCGTTGGCAGGTAGGTTCTTTACCACAGAGTCACCTGGGAAGCCTGGGTGAAACACCCACATGGCTCAAAATTGGGAAGGTCAAAAAAGAATTTAGTGGTAACTTTTCTTTTCACTACTATCTTCCCCCAGAAACCACCACTGTTTCTTATTTAACCTTCCAGTGATATTTTATACATATGAAAGCAATATATAACTACTCTTTTTAAAATACAAATGGTAGTATTTTATTACACTGTCCTGCTTCTTACTTTTTTCATTTATCTGTCTTAGAGATTGAATGACTGTGTTGTATTCCATTATTTGGATATTCCATAATTTGCTTGAAACTTTGGTACTAGAACTTTCAGAATTCAGGATTCTAATACTTTGCTATAACCAGCAATGCTGGAGTGTCTACCCTTGAACTTAGGTCATTTATCTCATATATGAGAATATCTGTGGGAAAAATTCTTGGAGGTGGAATTGTGGGGTCAAAGGAATGTGCCTTTGTAACTTTGATTGCATGTTAGCAAATTGCTCTCTATAGAGTTTGTACCAATTTACATTCCAAACAAAACAAAACCAAAAAAACCCCCAAAACCAAAACAACGCATGAGTGACTGTCTTCTCTATGTCTTCACCAATATACTATATTACTGGTAAATCTTATTGGTAAAAAAAGTGGCATCTTAATTTAAATATACTCCTTTTTATGAGTTAGGTCAATCCCAAAAGTCCAAAAGCAATTTGTACTTTTTTTCTGTTAATTGCCTATTCACAGAATATTGGTTTTGTCCTTATTTTTCTATTCAGTGCCCTTGAAGAATAAGATGCACATGACTTTGGGGGAAGAGAGTGGGAACCAGGAAGGTCAGAGCAGTCATTGAATTCTCCTGAGGTCACATAAGATAATTACAATAAGGACCAGGGACTCAGAATCTTAAATTTGCCAAGAATCTTAGAAATAACATACAACTGAAATTTTTTAGATCTAGTTTTAGTTTTTACCATTTTCACCTCCACCCACTCCACTCCTATCTCCATCAGAATCCTGAAAGTGTTTCACTTCTAAAAACATTTCTAAACATTAAAAAAACTGCAATCAGCATATACTCTCCAAACGTAGGCCACGCCACTTATGTATGCTTTCACGTAGACTCTATGAGAAAACGTTTTCTTTTCATTTTCACCTACAGTAGTCCACAATCCTGACATCTAAAATGTTCTTAAAAACAGAGAGGGTTTTAACAAGTTTGACACCAAAACTTATTTAGTGGCAAAACCTGACAGTAACTGATAGGTAACTATCCAGAGTGTTTATCTATCACACTTACTATGACTATTCAAATGTTCTTTCAGAAGAGTTGTTCTTTCTTTTAAAAAATTGGAGTATAGTTGTTCACAATGTTGTGGTAATTTCTGCTGTATAGCAAAGTGAATCAGCTATATGTATACACATATCCCCTCTTTTTTGAATTTCCTTCTCATTTGGGTCACCACAGAGCATTGAGTAGAGGTCCCTGTGCTATACAAGAGGTTCTCATTAGTTATTTATTTTATACATAACATTAATAGTGTACATGTCAATCCCAATCTCCCAATTCATCCCACATGCCCTTTCTTTTTTTTTTTCCCATTTATTTTTATTGGTTGGAGGCTAATTACTTTACAATATTGTAGTGGTTTTGGCCATACATTGATATGAATCAGCCATGGATTTACATGTGTTCCCCATCCCGATCCCCCCTCCCACCTCCCTCTCTACCCAATCCCTCTGAGTCTTCCCAGTGCACCAGCCCCGAGCACTTGTCTCATGCATCCAACGAGGGCTGGTGATCTGTTTCACCCTTGATAATATACATGTTTTGATGCTGTTCTCTCAAAACATCCCACCCTCGCCTTCTCCCACAGAGTCCAAAAGTCTGTTCTGTACATCTGTCTCTTTTTCTGTTTTGCATATAAGGTTATCATTACCATCTTTCTAAATTCCATATATATGTGTTAGTATACTGTATTGGTCTTTATCTTTCTGGCTTACTTCACTCTGTAAAATGGGCTCCAGTTTCATCCATCTCATTAGAACTGATTCAAATGTACTCTTTTTAATGGCTGAGTAATATTCCATGGTGTATATGTACCACAGCTTCCTTATCCATTCATCTGCTGATGGGCATCTAGGTTGCTTCCATGTCCTGGCTCTTATAAGCAGAGCTCCGATGAACATTGGGGTGCATGTGTCTCTTTCAGATCTGGCTTCCTTGGCCCACACCCCCTTTCTCACCCTGCCATCTGCCATGTCCACGTGGCTATTCTCTACATCTGTGTTGCCTCTCCTGCCCTGCAAATAGGTTCATCAGTACCATTTTTCTAGATTTCACATGTATGTGAGAATATATGATATCTGTTTTTCTCTTTCTGACTTACTTCACTTATCTGTGTTCTTGCAGGGTGCTGCCCTGGACACTGCTATAGTAGGATGGTATTACATTACACAGATGGTATATTGCATTTCTGAAATCTGTAAAATGTTGAACATTGGAAGGCACTTGGACTTGAGGGTGCCAGATAAGGGATTGTGGACCTACATTTGGACTTACCAACTTGTCATTACTCAGGAATGTTTTAACTCTGCCTTGATCATCTTTAATTCAGGCCTGTGTGAGTCAGCTCAAGTAAGGTTGTTCAGACAAGTCCAGCAGAGTCAGTTGTGCAATAATCAGTTCAGTTCAGCTCAGGTGCTCAGTTGTGTCCTACTCTTTGCGACCCCATGGACTGCAGCACACCAGGCCTCCCTGTCCATCACCAACTCCCAGAGTTTACTCAAACTCATGTCCATTAAGTTGGTGATGCCATCCAACCATCTCATCCTCTGTCGTCCCCTTCTCCCCCTGCCTTCAATCTTTCCCAGCATCAGGGTCTCTTCCCATGAATCAGTTCTTAGCATCACGTAGCCAAAGTATTGGAGTTTCAGCTTCAACATCAGTCCTTCCAATGAATATTCAGGACTGATTTCCTTTAGGATGGACTGGTTGGATCTCCTTGCAGTCTAAGGGACTCTCAAGAGTCTTCTCCAACACCATAATTCAAAAGCATCAATTCTTCGGCGCTCAGCTTTCTTTACAGTCCAACTCTCACATCTATACATGACTACTGGAAAAACCATAGCCTTGACTAGATGGACATTTTTTGGCGAAGTAATGTCTCTGCTTTTTAATATGCTCTCTAGGTTGGTCATAGCTTTTCTTCCAAGGAGCAAGCATCTTTTAATTTCATGGTTGCAGTCACCATCTGCAGTGATTTTGGAGCCCCCCAAAATAAAGTCTCTCACTGTTTCCTTTGTTTCTCCATCTATTTGCCATGAAGTGATGGGACCAGATGCCATGATCTTCGTTTTCTGAATGTTGAGCTTTAAGCCAACTTTTTCACTTTCCTCTTTCACTTTCATCAAGAGGGTCTTTAGTTCTTCTTCGCTTTCTGCCATAAGGGTGGTGTCATCTGCATATCTGAGGTAATTGATATGTCTCCTGGCAATCTTGATTCCAGCTTGTGCTTCATCCAGCCCAGTATTTCTTGTGATGTACTTTGCATAAAAGTTTAATAAGCAGGGTAACAATATACCTGCAATAATGTCATGATAATATTCTGGCATAAGTACTTATATTGTTTATCCCAAGTTCTCAGTCCTTCTCTGGCCTTTAAACATATCTTAAATAATATAAATTATTTGGATATATTGTTAATGGGATTTCCCTGGTTGTCCAGTGGCTAAGACTCTGCACTTCCTCTACAGGGTTATAGGTTCCATTCTTGGTCCAGGAACTAAGACCCCACATGCTGGGAGGTGTGGCCAAAAAGTAAGTACATACATATGTAAATAAATGATTAGAAAAAGTACTGTTAGTGACTCAATTTGGGAACAAAAATTTCATACCACTCTTCTCTTAAGGAATATTTAGAGATTGGAAACTGACCTGTTAAAAAAGATCTTGTATCTGCAACTGTTTATGTGGGAAAAGAAGGAATTTTTTGTAGTGTATAATCAAAACAAAAGACAGAGATAAAGTATCTACAACTCTAATGATAAATGTGTGCAGCAACTTAACTATTCCCATTGCGTTCCTATGAAAATATTTTACATATGATTCACTAAATATTTTTAAAAATCAATTAATTTTTTGGCTGTGTTGGGTCTACATTGTTACATGGGCGTCTCCTAATGTTCAGCACAGGCTCTAGAGTACACTGGCTTCAGTAGTTTCAGCTGGAAGTTTGTGGAGCCCAGGTGCACGGACTCAGTTGCTCTGAGGCGTGTGGGATTTTCCCAGAGCAGGGATCAAAACTTTGTCTCCTGCATTGGCAGGCAGACTCTATGGCAGAGCCACTAGGGAAGCCCTGATGTCACTAAATATACTTATAAGTACTGCTTTAAATTCACTTTACACAATGGACTTTCCCATAAAATTTTATTTGGAAGACATTCTATATTCAGTTACACCATGGTATAAAAATGGAAGAGGACAATGATACCTAGAGATGGTGGAATATATCTTGTGCAATTCTTTGGGGAAATAAAGGTGAACTTTGGGTTGTTTCAGGTGAAGAAAGTAGATGGGACTATAGAGAAGAGAATTTATTTCACATGGTGTCTTTCTGCATTAGTGATTTTAATATGGATTCTTAGAAGTTACCAACAACTGGTCAGATAAAAAAATTTTTTTTGTAATACACTCCTCTCTGGACTGACCTAGGCAATCCTGGGCTCAGTCTTCTGCTTCCATCACTTTCTTGATCCAGTCCACATAGTTGAGGAGATTGGTGTAGAACCCGTACCCTTCTCCACACCCGATGCCCCAGGACACGATGCCTGTGGCCACCCAGCGGTCATTTTTCTTATCACTCACTGCAAAGACCCCTCCACTATCCCCTTGGCAGGAATCCTGCCTTGTGGCTGGGTTCCCAGCACAGAACATGTTTTCAGAAAACACATCATTCCTGTTTTTTTGCCGGAGCCAGCGCTCGCAAATCTCTCGCCTAGCTACTGGCAGACGGACAAATCTGAGGTTGTGAGAAATTCTCTCCTCCATGATCCCAAAGCCACTGACATAGCCCACGAGACCCGGGTCATAGAAGGTCTCGTTGTCTGGGAGGCAGATAGGTAGGAGGTTGGGGCCTAGGGTGACGCTATTTTCCAGCTCCAGGAGGGCGATGTCCCCCTCAAAATTGTGGGACTCTTCCTGGCGGTAGTCTGGGTGGATTATGACCCTACGGACTGGGTGGTTGGACAGCTTGGTGATATCTTCCACGTTGATGTGGCCCAGGAACACGTCTAAATTGGGGCTGCCCTGTGCCTCGTGGTCCTTGGGGTAGATGGTGTGCGCGGCTGTGACGATCCAGCGGTCCCCTAGCAGTGCGCCACCCCCGGGCCCGTGGATGTTGGTGTAGGCCTGCCAGGGGAAGTTGCCCAGCTTCGCCTTCTGGCCTCCAATGATGCGTTGCCTCTGCTCCACGGGGTGGACTGGCTTCCCGCATACTGGCGAGGAGACAATGGAGGGGCGGGGGGGCGTAGAAAAGTCAGCACCTGGCCACCCGCCTCCCTCCAAGGCCTGGCCCCTCCCCTTGGCCCCTCTTTTTAGTTCAGGGCCTTTTCCTCTCTCCCCATCCTCCCCCGCCACCCATCTCCTCACCCCCCCTCTTTGGCATATTGTCAGTCATCTCTCTTCATTCTTGTTTATTCTTTCCTAGGGCTTTTCTTGCCCTTTTTATTTATTCTTGGTCTCCCACCTGCTCAGTGAAAAGTCCAGGACTGTCAGGACAGGGCCAGCTCTCTGGGTCCCTCTGCCCTTCTCCTGGGGCATCTCCTCTCCGTTTTCCAGATGCCCCCATGTCCGTCTTCAGCTTCAGGCTGGACTGTCTCTCTCTTGTCTATGCCACCCCTCCTCTGAGGCCCTGCATTGCTGCCAAGGCCACAGAGGACAGTTGAGGGCCTCCACTCACCTGGCAAACACCGAGGCACCTTCTCTCCTACCAGCTCATTCTTCCAAATGCCCTGAGCGGTGCAGGTGTACAGCCCTGAGGGGAGAGGGGGCTGAGCTCAGGCTGGGGGGTTGTGGGCAGAGGCCAAGAGCACCAAAGCGAGCACAGAAAGGAGGAGGAACAAAGGGAAAGGTTGGAATACCTGCGGATGGGATACTGAAAGTGTGTGTTTTGAAAAGCTCCATGTGTGTTTTTGTTTTGATGCTAAATGGAAAAATCAGAATGCTTAACTCATATTTGTTGTGATCCCTATGTGTGAAAGTTGACACAAAAACTGGAAGGAACTTATCAAGGAGATCTTATCATTATTGCATCTTGGTGCTGGGGAGCGGATGATAGTGGGAGTTATGTTTTCTTGTTTAGTTTTTTGAGGGTGTTTTTTTGGCTCTGCTGTGCAAATCTTAGTTCCCCAACCACGGATTGAACCCGAGCCCTCAGCAGTGAAAGCGTGGAGTCCTAATTGCTGGACCATCAGGGAATTCCCCGTAGCTATGTTTTCTGATTGTGGACAGTGTACCTTGCTTGACGCTCAGCATTTTATCTCATTGACGCACCTTGGTGATGCTTTCAGATATGCATCATCACCCTCCTCCTAGAGACAAGGAGGGCTTCCCTGGTGGCTCAGACGGTAAAGAGCCAGCCTGCAGTGCAGGAGACCAGGGTTTGATCTCTGGGTCAGGAAGTACCCTGGAGAGGGGGAAGGCTACCCATTCCAGTATTCTTGCTTGGAGAATTCCATGGACAGAGGAGCCAGGCAGGCTACAGTCCATGAGATCTCAGAGTCGGACACGACTGAGTGACTAACACTAGAGTTGAGGAAACTGGGTTTAAATAATTTACACGAGGTCATATAACTTCTAAGTGCCAGAACCAAGATGCAAATGGACAGTTGTCTTACTTCAAAGTCCAGCTCTTATATAATACCTTACATAGCCTGTGAACTTGGAGAAGGAAATGGCAACCCACTCCAGTATTCCTGCCTGGAGAATCCCATGGACAGAGGAGCCTGGCAGGCTACAGTCCATAGGGTCACAATGAGTCGGACATGACTGAGTGACTAACAACAGCAACAGTAATAGCCTATAAACAAGATATTTTTTTTTCTCTTTTTGGCATGTTTTAAATCTACAAATCATGTGATTTCTTTCATTAAAAAGTTTTCAAGATACCCACTGATGAGTCTGAAAGCAATTTAGTAGTGCAAAAAGTCACAACACAGGAACCTGAGAGGGGATGTGGGGAGAGTGCTGAGGAAACCCCACTGATAAACCTGCAGTGGGGGGTGCTGGTGGGGGTGGGGTGAGAGAGAGCTGTTTATGAGATTCAAGTCTTTCATTCTATCAGCTCAAATGTTTCCTTTTCCAACCTTATTAGAAGCCTCTTGGCACCCCTGAAGCCAGTGCCCGGGATAAATATCTTAATATTCCCTCCTTGGAGACTCTGTTGAAAGAAATTGCAGAAGATGTTCCCACAAGAGGGAGAAGGTGGCCATGTACACCTGTCCTTACCTCGCTCAGACTCGCGTGTGCTGTCTTTGGTGTGCATCTTGTAGAAGGGCTCATGGCAGTAGTACTGGATGCGGGCCTCGTAGGTATTCACCCCTTCTCTGGTGATGTAATTGAAGGCCCCATTGGGCAGGCTTCGGGGCCGCCCGCAGTTCTTGACTTGGAGAGAACACAGGGCCACGTGAGAGCTGAGGACTGTACCGGAACTTCAGTGGGAGGGGCGGGAACCCATTGAACATGCTGAGAGCCTTCGGGAGATATGGTCACTGGGGGCTTTCGTGATGCATGAGAATTGGATGGGATAAAACTCAGTTCTGGGCAGAGCCCCTCATCTGCAGAGACGAAGGCTGACTGGTTCCCGGTGGGCTGGAGCCTTCAAAGGACAAGTCGGGGGAATGGCTTTTGGGGGGCGATGCTTAGGCCTGACCCTCTTCCCTTCTCCTGGGGGGAGACACATGCTTGAGTTGCAACTTACTCCTGCACCTGGGCATGGCTCGGTGCCATGTGCCATCATCCTGGCAGACAGCTGTGAAGGATAGGAGCACCTTGTTGCCCTGTTGGAGCAGAGGTGGAGAAGCCATTAGTACAAGGAGACCCTGAGGCTCCCTCCTGCCCTTGCCCACAGGGGAGCAGTAAGGATGCAAAGTCAGCTCTCAGCCCTTGAACCTCAACACCTGTGGATGTGGCCCCTGGGCCCCTCTTCCTAGCCAGTCCTCTCAGACCAGACTGACTGCACTGAGCCATGCAGCAGGAAGCCAGAGCTGGGGACTTGCCCGGTGGTCTAGTAGTTAAGAATCTGTCCTCCAGTGTCGGGGAGTGGGTTCGATCCCTGGTCGAGGAACTAAGATCCCACATGCTGGGGAGCAACAAAGCTCGAATGCCACAGCTACTGAGCCCGCATGCTGACACATCCAAATAGGTAAATAAATAAATAAATAGTTTAAAAAAAAATATCGGAGCAAGGGCTAGTTGTTATACCCAATAATCCCCTCTCTAGACTCTTGGGATTTCAAGAGTTTCCACTGAGGTCCAGTTGAACCCCATCATTTTATTTTTAAAAAATTTATTTATTTATTATTATTTATTTTGGCTGCTTTGGGTCTTAGTTGTGGCACTCAGGATCTTCGATCTTCATTGTGGGATCTTTAGTTGAGGTGTGTGGGGTCAGGTTTCCCGACCAGGAATCGAACCCAGGCCCTCTGCTTTGGGAGTGCAGAATCTCAGACACTGGAATACCAGGGAAGTCCCTGAACTTCACAGTTTTTAATTAAAAAGCAAACAAGCCACAAGCACAGTTGCACATTCTCTGCATTGAAACAAAAGTCTCTGCCCTGAAGTAGGGCCATGTTTCTTCCCTCTGGACTGCTCTGCCAGGTAAGCCCCGTATCACCCCATTGCCCCCAGACTGCAGGCTTCTCAAGGCTAAGGGTCTTTCCTAAAATGCTAGTGCAGCCCAGCCACTTTCAAGGGGGCTCAAGATGCTGACATATGCTAAGTGCTATCCTAGGCCAACAGATGGCGGGGACAGGCCAGGAGAAAGCACCCTCTGAAATGAAAAGTAACTGGAGAACATGAATGAGTTTTATTAACACCAACAATCATCTCAGATTGTTAGCCCTGGATCAGACTGCAAGAGAATGTGCATAAGAACTAGGATATCTGAGCAAAATGTAAATTATCATATAGTCGCTCAGGCATGTCCCAACTGTTTTGCAACCCCATGGACTGTAGACCGTCAGGTTCCTCTGTCCGTGGACTTTTCCAGGCAAGAATACTGGGGTGGGTTACCAGATCCTTCTTCAGGGGAATCTTCCCCACCCAGGAGCTGAACCCATGTCTCCTGGTTGGGGAACTTAGATCCCACATGTCTCAGGGCACCTAAGCCTGTGCACCACAACTACAGAAAGCAGTGAGGAACCAGTAAAGGCAATTAATAATAATAAATACATAAATAAATGCTATTTTTATGAACCATACAATTGGAGTTACCCTGGCCAGGGGCCTGCTGAGTCAAATAAAAAGTAAATAATGTGATATAAACTGTGTGACTAGGTTTAAAGTTGATGATGTGAATGATAAGTGATAAGGTAAGGGTGCTGGTGGCATAGATGGGGCAGGTTGTAACCTGAACGGCGGGGAGGAGTGTGCTCAGGACCCCCAGTCCTTCCTGGACTAATGAGCAGTGATCTGGCTGACTCATCTCTATTCAAAGGTAAGCTCCATGAAACCTGTGTGAACATGTGTGTTTCTTTTACTGTACCTCCCACATCCAAAACACTGCCTATCACTGAATCAACACTTAAAATGTTTGTTGGGTGAACTCACCACAACCAACCAAAGGTCTCTTCTCTGATTCAGGGTGGGTCTTCCGAGGGGACCTACTGGACAAAGATGGGATGTCCAGTCCCAGGCCCCTGGCCAGGGTAACTCCAATTGTATGGTTCATAAAAATAGCATTTATTTATGTATTTATTATTATTAATTGCCTTTACTGGTTCCTCACTGCTTTCTGTAGTTGTGGTGCACAGGCTTAGGTGCCCTGAGACATGTGGGATCTAAGTTCCCCAACCAGGAGTCACACCCACGCCCCCTGCACCGGAAGGTGGATTCTTAACCACTGGACCACTAGGCAGTCCCGAGAGTAGCATTTTAGTTTCCCGGCTTTTGTGAGATTCACCAGTGGAGCAAACCACATTCTCTCCTGGGTCTGCAAAGCTCTGGACAGGGTGGTGGGTCTGGGGTAAGACCACCGGTGGAAATAAACGGAGTCTCTTCTGATTGTTCGATGGAATGCTGCCCGAGTCATGAATCATTGAGTAAAGCCAGGTAGGTTTTAAAAACAAAAATCGAGAGCCCTGGGGCAAGAGGCAGGGGATTTGTCCCTGTTGTACACAATCCCAGTGATGTTGAGTGAGTGAGGTCTCGCTCTTCAGCTCCACCCCCGCCTGTTTGGTTCCTCACTGCATAGTGAGTTATAGGGCCAGGTCCCATAGTTCTTAGACTTGGCTGGGCATTAGAATCACCAAGTAACTATAAGTAATCCTGATACCCATGCTCCCCTTCAGACTCATGGACTAGTCTCTAGCAGGGGACTGGACATCAGAATTTTGAAATCCTATTTCTAGTGTGCGGTCAAGTTGGAGCAGGCTGGGTAACCCTTCCAGCTCAAACATGCTTATGTTTCCATGTGGGGCTGAGCCTCCATAGTCCGTGTGAATTATGCCGGACTCTGGGTCAGCTGCCTCCCCTCGGCCCTGGCTCTTACCTCCACGAGCTCGTAGCCTTTTTTGCACGTGGCGATGAAATAGTCCCGGTACTGGTATTGAGGCTGCGGGTCCTGAATGATGGTGTATGAGTCCAGGGTCTTGGGCTGGGGGCACTTGATGACTATTACGGAGATCAGAGGGCACGTTTATTTCTGAGCCACTGGCCTCCGTTCTAACTGCCTCATCCTGCCCCCTTTCTGGCCCCGAGGGGCCCCAGGCAGCCTTACCTTCACTAGTGTAGTACAGCTTCCAGCCCCGGCTGTCCCCTGACTCGTCCGTGAAGAAGAGCAGGTCCACCGAGTTGCTTTGGGCATCAATGTGCTCGGGCCTTTGCTTTCCACAGAACTCACCAATGTTCCTCCCCTTGACATAGATCTGTGGTGGTGGTGGGGGTGGACAGAGGGAGGGTCATGTGGCCAATTCAGACACAGGGCTAAGGCAGTGGTGCCGGTGGTGTGGATCCTGCTTGGTGTATGTTTTCAGCTGGAGAGGAGAAAGCCTCCCTAGGACCCACTGGCCAGGAGTGTGCACTAAGTTGCTCAGTCGAGTCCAACTCTCTGCAACCTTATGGACCGTAGCCTGCCAGGCTCCTCTGTCCATGGAATTCTCCAGGCAAGAATATTGGAGTGGGTTGCCATGACCTCCTCCAGGCAATTTTCCCGACCTAGGGGTTGAACCTGAATCTTACATCTCCTGCATTGGCAGATGTGTTCTTTACCACTAGAGACACCTGGGAAGCCAGGAGTGTAGGACAACTCATGTGGGACATTGGCCATTTCTGCACCCATTGGCCAGACGGCCCAGTGGGGAGGAGGGATGAGAGGAGACGTGTGGGGATGGGGACGAGAGTTTCTGGGGGTGGGTTGGCTGTACCTGCAGCTGGTCGTAGGGACAGTGTATTTGCTGGTGGTCATCGATTTCAAAAGGCTCCAGGAATTGGAGGTGGAGGGTGTGGCCCCGCTCTACTCGGATACTGTAGTTGCAGCGCAGGTCGGGGGGGTAGGGTTGGGGGTACTCCAAGCTGGAGATGTAGCCAGAGGGCTCCGTGAACAGCTCGCTGCTGCACTCGGCTGGGAGAGCAGAGCGAGAGCGGGTCGCCCAGAGAGCCCCACCTTGCTCAGCCCCTGCCTCCCCTGGGACCACCCAGGCAGGACCTCACCCTGGCAGGAACGCCCATCCTGCTGGAGCTCATAGCCTGGACGGCAGGAGCAGAAATAGCCGCCAACGTAGTTGTGGCACAAGTGTTGGCACCCAGGCGGGGTGTCCTCCTCAACCGAGTTGAGCTGCAAGGCACATTCGTCCAGGTCTGGAAGAGATTCCGGAAGGAGGGATTCAATCCCACAGAAGCTAGGGTGGGGGCCGGGGGAGGGACCTTTGGAGGCGCTGGTCTCAGTGAGGTCACTCATTAGAGGCCTAAGGACAAGGTTATCTCAGGCCACCTGGAACTCTGGGCCCCTCTGACCCTTTCTGGGACCTGCTCAGTGGGGACAGGACCCCGGGGGATAGCCCTCTCCTAGAAAAAGCTCTCTTGGGAAAAAACAAGAAAGCCTGGCTTCCCAAATCTTTGGATTCAAGAATCCCCCTTTCTGGCCCCCATTCAGTATGAGCTCAGGAGCCAGCACAGGCGCCACTCACCCACGGCTTGGTAGTATGCCAGGAAGCCCTTGTAGAACATGATGGTGCCGTTCTCCTCATTGGAGAAGTCCGAGTGGAAGGTCAGCAGCATCTTGTTCCCTTGGGACATGAATTCCTTCCTTCCTGGGGGGTTGCCCAGGGGAGAACTCAGCTGCCCACAGAACCTCCCCATGGTCTTCTTATCAGCAGAAATCTGTGGAGGAGGGACAGGCAGACAAGCTGTTGAGGGGACACATCCCACATGGAAGGTTATGAAGGTCATCCTTCTCTTATCCCAGAGAGGGGATCCCGCCCCCTCCTCCCCGCCCCACTGGATGGTCTCCAGCTGCTGTCTACCTGCTGGGCTCTGGCTATTCCAACTTCCCCAGAGGCCTTTCCTCTGTCCTGCATCCCCATCGATTGACCTTGCACGTTATCCCGTGCCTGGACTCGGCCCTCCCTTTTTATGATCCCCAGCTAAAACAAACCTAGACAGCATATTAAAAAGCAAAGACATCACTTTGCTGAGAAAGGTACGTCTAGTCAAAGCTATGATGTTTCCAGTAGTCATGTATGGATGTGAGAGTTGGACCATAAAGAAGGTTGAGTGCTGAAAAACTGATGCTTTCAAATTTGTGGTGCTGGAGAAGACTCTTGAGAGTCCCTTGGACAGCAAATAGATCAAGCCAGTCAATCCTAAAGGAAATCAACTCTGATTATTCACTAGAAGGACTGATGCTAAAGCTGAAGTTCCAATACTTTGGCTACCTAATATGAAGAGCTGACTCATGGAATTGTCCTTGATACTGGGCAAGATAGAAGGCAGGAGGAGAAGGGATGACAGAGGATGAGATGGTTGGATGGCATCACTGACTCAATAGATGGATTCAAGCAAACTCGCAGACATGCTGAAGGACAGGGAAGCCTGCTGTGCTGCAGTCCATGGGGTTGCAAAGAGTCTGACACGACTTAGTGACTGAACAACAATGTGTGTCAGACCTTTCTTTACCCCCATCTCTTCCTGTGTCCACCTCCCACTGGAATCCTGGTCGCCTCTACCTGGTTTCTATCATTCCTTCATCCCTAGAGGCTGGATGATCTGCTTTACCCCCTGTCCTGTCCTTCCACCTTGTCTTGGTCAACCCATTCCTGTCCAGCCATGACTCCTGATATTCAGCTGAATGTGAGCATCCAGGACCTGCCAGCTTAGCAAGCATCATTGAGTTCCCCTTACCTCTATTCCTTCACAGATTCCTGAACTCCTGCCAAGCAGAAGACGTCCTCCTCCTACCTCATCTGCACTTTGCCTGCCACCAGGACCCTCCCTACCAGCACTGCTGACATCTTAAGTCCTCTGGGCTAGTGAGATATGGCATTTTCATGGTATTCTTTTATATCCTCCAGGGGATCTCCTGGAAATAGTGTTTATGGGCTCTATCTGAATCCTGCATCAAGAATCTCATTTTGTGTGTGTGTGTCTGCTGTGCAGTGCAGTAGGTGGGATCCTAGTTTCCTAAGTTTCCCAGGAATCAAACCGGGGCCCCCTGCCTTGGGAGCACAGAGTCTTAGCCACTGGACCACTGGGGAAGTCTCCAGGAATCCCATTTTTATTGGATGTAGAAAGAGGGACTGGGGTGGGGCCCTTGGTCGTGACAGAAGAGAGGGGACTGAGCCCACTGTCCTGGCTGGAGACCACCCTTGAGCCACCACCACACACATGCTGCTTCCTCGTGTCCCTGTGTTCCTGGTGAGGAGGCAGCCACGGTGACACTCTCCATGGCAACAGGGAATCCGAGGCATGGAAGTTTCCAAAATCTTCTGGGCAAGTAAGCAGACAGGGAGGGTTTTTTGGGGACTTCTGTGGACAGTGCATTCCCCAAGAGCAAGACCTGTCCCCTCCCTCTCTGTTTCTCCCCTCTGTGCTCCACGAGGGTCTCTCAGACCAGTGGCCACCCATCTTCGGCACCCCTAGACTTCCAGAACCCCACCTGACCATCGGCTTTTACTAGCTTGGGGCTGTGTCCCCAGGCAGGGTGTGCTATCCAGGCCGGTCAGAACTCGGGTCCCCTGGTTCCAGAGACACTCAGTTCTCCCTCTGCCCACCCCCCTAGTCTGCCCTCCTACCTTGACATAGTCATAGAAACAACCTTCCGAAGGCTCCAGGTCAAACTGCCAGAAGACAAGCTTCACTCTGTACCCCGTGGGTACTGTGATCACAGTGGTCCTCTCAAAATTGTTAGGGTAAGGCTTGGGGAACAAAGGGGATGTCACCTCCCCGTAGAGCCTCTGAGGGGTAGGGATGGTGCCTCCAACCCCGTAGAACAGGACCGGCAGCAGGAGGTATAAAAGCCACCTGCCAAAAGAAAAAAGGTATCTGTAGGGCGGGAGGGGTGCAGACCCAAGCTGTTTGGTAGGGGATGAGATTGCCGTACCGCCGGGCATTTTCCTCTCGGTCCATTCTAGATCTCAGGGAGATGTCCTAGGGTGGGAGGGGAGGGTGCAGGGGGGAGGCTGGTCCCTGCAGCTGCTGCACTGAGTGCTCCTCCCCAGGGCAGTGTCCAGTCCAGAGGTCAGTACACTCCCCCCACCTCTCTCCCCAGCCTCCTTCTTGCCCTGTTGCATCACTCTGCTCCCCTTCCAGGAATCAGGCTGGCTTGGACCAGTAAACTGACGGTGAGGGTTTCCAGTCATGGTCTCCGAAATGGCTCCCACATGTTCAGCAAGGCCTCTGGGAGAGACCGCCTATGGAAGAGGGTCTCAGGCACAGAGGCTGACCCTCCAGGCTGAGGGACTCCTCCCCACCTCACAGCTCCCTATGAGCTGGAAGAGAAAGGCAGTGTGGCCTCACCTCCTGGGTCTGAGTCTCCTTTCTGCTTGGAAGGAGAGATGGGGCATGCGTTTGTGAGCGTGCATGTGTGTGCATATTGGAGAGATAAGGTGTATGGGGAGGGGCCGGGTGCTCCCACCTCCCTGAGTAAGTCTGGGCACAGGGGGCCCCCCGTGCCCAGGATCGTTCCCTCTGGTGTCTCCCTCCTTCCTTGGTCCCCACCAGGCTTACTCACATTTCTCAAGGCCTGTTGTTGGATCCCTGATGCTCGTGACAGCGTCTTCATGCACTCTGGGTGCAGAGAGAGCAGGGTCATGCAGGGGAGGGAAGGGGAAGGGAGGGACTGTGGAGGGGGAAGGGGTGACCATTCTGGGAGGAAGGTTGTAGGGAATGAACTATTTGCATAAACAAAACCAAAAAAGAAAAAAACAATTCTCTTTCGGTTTAGTTTTGGTTGTGAAATGCCTGATGGTGCTGCCACCTGCTGGCCTTCAGGGTAAGGGCTAGAGAGGGGTCTGCATTTTTAGGGACAGAAAAGCCTTGGGTTGGAGGCCCTGATGTCCCTTTCTAAATCTGAGGGGAATCCCCACCCTTCCTCAGGGCCCTTTCTGGTGACTGCGGCTGAGTGTTCAGGGTTCCTATCCAAAGAGCAGTGGAAATCACAGTTGAGGGGGGGTCTTTTGGGACCCTTTCTTCTCCTTTAACCCCGTTCTCCCTGTCCTTAGTTAGCCAGAAGCTCTGGTGCAGGAATGACCAGGGTTCAATGCCAGGATAATGGCACAGGAGCGAGGATTAGCGATGGGGAGTGCAGGAGGGCGCAGAGGAGAGAGACGTTTGCTTGACCTGGGGTCCCGCCCTGCTTCCCTCAGAAATTACACGTAGAGGGAACTTACCTGAAGCTCTAGTGGTTAAAACTCCGTGTTTCCAATCCCTGGTCATGGAACTAAGATCCCACATGCCATGCAGTGCAGCTAATAAAGAAATGTAAAAAGATGACAAGTAGAACAGGGACTGCCATGACCCCAAAGCACCACTAGGCTCTGTTTTAAGACCCTCCCTGGACTTCCCTGGTGGTCCAGGGGTTAAGACAACCAGCTTCCCAGGCAAGTGGCGTTGATCCCTGATCAGGGTACTAAGATCCAAGCAGAAAAAAAAAAGAAAAAGAAAAAGGCCCTTCCTCCCCCCCTCAATGGACTCAGGCCTGCCAATGAACTTGTCCCTTAGGGAAACAAGGGCAACTGAGGATGGGATGGAGATATCCTTTTATCCTCAGCATCTGGTCCAGAGTGTGAGCCCCTGAGGGTCATGGCATCAGGGGCTGGGCAAACAGGCTGGCTGTGGACCACCAGTTGTGGATGTGACTGGTAATGGAAGTAAAGTCTGATGCTATAAAGAACAATATTGCATAGGAACCTGGAATGTTAGGTCCAGAATCAAGGTAAATTGGAAGTGGTCAAATAGGAAATGGCAGGAGTGAACGCTGACATTTCAGGAATCAGTGAACTAAAATGGACTAGAATGGAAGAGTAGGAGTAGGAGTAGGTCAGATGATCATTATATATACAACCGTGGGCAAGATTCCCTTAGAAGAACTAGAGTAGCTCTCATAGTCAACAAAAGAGCCCAAAATGCAATATTTGGGTGCAATCTCAAAAAACAACAGAATGCAAAGAAATAGAGAAAAACAATAGAATGGGAAAGACTAGAGATCTCTTCAAGAAAATCAGAGATACCAAGGGAACATTTCACGCAAAAATGGGCACAATAAAGAATAGAAATGGTATGGACCTAACAGAAGCAGAAGATATTAAGAAGAGGTGACAAGAATACACAGAAGAACTATACAAAAAAGATCTTCATGACCCAGATAACTACGATGGTGTGATCACTCACCTAGAGTCAGACAACCTGGAATTCGAAGTCAAGTGGGCCTTAGGAAGCATCGTTACGAACAAAGCTAATGGAAGTGGTGGAATTCCAGCTGAGCTCTTTCAAATCCTAAAAGATGATGCTGTGAAAGTGCTGCACTCAATATGCTAGCAAATTTGGAAAACTCAGCAGTGGCCACAGGACCAGAAAAGGTCAGTTTTCATTCCAATCCCAAAGAAAGGCAATGCCAAAGAATGTTCAAACTACTGCACACTTGCACTCATCTCACACGCTAGCAAAGTAATTCTGAAAATTCTCCACACTCGGGGGCAAGAATATGTGAACCGAAAACTTCCAGATGTTCAAGCTGGATTTAGAAAAGGGAGAAGAACCAGAGATCAAATTGCCAACATCTGTTGGATCATCGAAAAAGCAAGAGAGTTCCAGAAAAACATCTATTTCTGTTTTATTGACTATGCCAAAGCCTTTGACTGTGTGGATCACCATAAACTGGAAAATTTTGAAAGAGGTGGGAACACCAGACCAACTTACCTGCCTCCTGAGAAATCTGTAGGCAGGTCAAGAAGCAACAGTTAGAATTGGACATGAGACAGACTGGTTCCAAATTGGGAAAGGAGTATGTCAAGGTTGTATATTGTCACCCTGCTTACTTATTTAACTTGTATGCACAGATATCATGTGAAATGAAGTACATTTCATTTTGGGCTGGATGAAGCACAAGGTGGAATCAAGATTGCTGGGAGAAATATCAGTAACCTCAGATGTGCAGATCATACCACCTTTATGGCAGAAAGCAAAGAGGAACTGAAGAGCCTCTTGGTGAAAGTGAAAGAGGAGAGTGAAAAAGCTGGCTTAAAACTCAACATTCAAAATACTAAAATCATGGCCTCTGGTCCCATCACTTCATGGCAAATAGATGGGGAAACAATGGAAACAGTGACAGACTTTATTTTCTTGGGCTCCAAAATCACTGCAGATGGTGACTGCAGCCATGAAATTAAAAGATGCTTGCTCCTTTGAAGAAAAGCTATGGGCAACCTAGATAGTGTATTAAAAAGCAAAGACAGGAGCGTCTCGCGGGCCGGAGAAGGAAGATGGCGGTGGAGTCGCGCGTTACCTAGGAGGAAATTAAGAAGGAACCGGAAAAGCCTATCGATCGGGAGAAGACCTGCCCGCTGCTCCTGCGCGTCTTCACCACCAACAACGGCCGCCACCACCGCATGGACGAATTCTCCCGCGGAAACGTGCCGTCCAGCGAGCTGCAGATCTACACTTGGATGGATGCAACCTTGAAAGAATTGACTAGTTTAGTAAAAGAAGTCTACCCAGAAGCCAGAAAAAAAGGCACACACTTCAATTTTGCAATTGTTTTTACTGATCTTAAAAGGCCTGGCTATCGAGTAAAGGAGATTGGCAGCACCATGTCTGGGAGAAAGGGGACTGATGACTCCATGACCCTGCAGTCACAGAAGTTCCAAATAGGAGACTATCTGGACATAGCGATCACCCCTCCAAATCGGGCACCACCTCCTTCAGGGCGCATGAGACCGTATTAAATTGTACTTGCTTTTTCTTGAATTTATTTTCCAGTCAGTTATGTAAAATAAACTTTCACTTCTTCCTCCTCTCCTTATTGCCATTAAGCCTTTAAACTCTATAACAAATTGTAATGCATCTATTTAGGAATTAGATTTGGCTTTGCTATGTATGAATATTAATAGAAAGTCCATATGTTTCAGGTTCTTCTGTAAAATATGAAAAGTGCTCTTAGCATTCTATGTAAAATTGTATTGTTAAATATATGTTGCAATCAAAAAAAATAAAATAAAATAAAAAGCAAAGACATTACTTTGCTGACAAAGATCCATCTTGTCAAGTGGAGGTCACTCAGTCATTTTCCACTCTTTGTGACTCCATGGAATTCTCCAGGCCAGAATACTGGAGTGGGTAGCCTTTCCCTTCTCCAGGGGATCTTCCCAACCCAGGAATCGAACCCAGGTCTTCCTAATTGCAGGCTGATTCTTTACCAACTGAGCCACCATGGAAGCCCACCTAGTCAAAGCGATGGTTTTTTCAGTAGTCATGTATGGATGTGAGAGTTGTCCATGTAGTCCATGGGGTCACTTAGAGTCACAAAGAGTCAGACATGACTCAATGACTGAACTGAACTGAAGCTCATCACTAAATATAGTCTGAGAGCAGGTGCACAGAAGAGGCCAGGTGGATCCTGGTTGGAGGGTTTCGCCAGCAGGCTTGTTTGTTGAAGCCGAGGAGTGGATCTGCTGGCAGGGCTGATCCATGACATGACCTGCACATGGTCTGTGCCCTGTCAGGTGAGGAAGGACAAAACATAGGGGAGAGGGTGAGGGCCAGATTAGGAGGCCAGAAAGAGGGGGCATCTAGGGACTTCCCTGGCAGTCCAATGGTTAAGACTTCACCTTCCAATGCAGGGGGTGAGGGTTTGAACCGTGCTTGGAGCTAGGATCTCACATGCCTTGTGGTGAAAAAAACCAAAACATAAAACAAAAGCAATATTGTAACAAAGTCAATAAAAACTTTAAAAATGGTCCACACAAAAAAAATCTTTAAAAACAAAGAATTGGCATCTTGTCTAGCAAATGCAAATTAGAATCTGGATGGCATTGTGTGTGTGTATTGTGTGTTCACTGTGAGGGTAGGATGGCAGATGTGTGGGTAGAAGAGGTGGTTCAAGAAGGTCAGACTTGGCAGAAGCTCTCCCATCTGCCTAGGGGTTCTGAGTTCTGTCCTGGTATCATGTAACATGACTGGACCTCATTAACTTAGCTCCAGCCTGAGCTGCACTCTGCCCAACCACACACAACCTTGACTTATACATAGTGTTAGGCTTTCCTGGTGGATCAGCTGGTAAGGAATCTGCCCCTTGTAGGAGACCCGAGTTCAACACCTGGTTTGGGAAGATCCCCTGGAGGAGGCAATGGCAACCCACTCCAATGTTCCTGCCTGGAGAATTACATGGACAGAGGAGCCTGGTGGGCTACAGTTCATAGTGTCGCAAACAGCTGGACATGACTGAACAACTTAACACTTTCAGTTCCTTCATATGTTGTGTCATACCCTTGACTTATACCCTGGGCAGAAAGAAGAAATGGCCTTGTGATGATTGCTCACGCACTTGTTTTGAAACCAGTATTGAAGACATTGTTATATTGATCATGCCTTGTATGATTTGATTCTGGGGAGAAAAAAGTTTCTTAAGGTAATGTAAGTTTTTCTTCTGAGGATATATTTATGTCTATATAACTGTATCAGTTCAGGTCAGTCGCTCAGTCATGTCCGACTCTTTGCCACTCCATGGACTGCAGCATGCCAGGCTTCCCTGTCCATCACCAACTCCTGGAGCTTGCTCAAACTCATGTCCATCGAATCGGTGATGCCATCCAACCATCCCTTCCTCTGTCATCCCCTTCTCCTGCCTTCAATCTTTCCCATCATCAGGGTCTTTTCAAATGAGTCAGTTCTTCACATCAGATGGTCAAAGTATTGTAGTTTCAGCCTCAGCATCAATCCTTCCAGTGAATATTCAGGACTGATTTCCTTTAGGATTGACTGGTTTGATCTCCTTGAAGTCCAAGGGACTCTCAAGAGTTTTCTCCAACAAAACAGTTCAAAAGCATCAATTCTTCAGCACTCAGCTTTCTTTATAGTCCAGTTCTCACATCCATAATGACTACTGGAAAACCCATAGCTTTGACTAGATGGACCTTTGTCGGCAAAGTAGTGTCTCTGCTTTTTAATATGCTCTGCTTTTAATGTCTCTGCTTTTTAATCTTTTAATATGCTGTTTAGATTTAACTATATACTTGTACCTATATCTGTATCTACCTCTATCTATATCTAGATATGTCTAGATCAAAATATATTGACATAGACATAAAGATTCCACTGTTTACTAAATTTTATTAAGAGTATATATTAGTTTTATTTATCTATTTTGATGATTGAAAAAATGATACAAGTTTCTCCCTGACAAGGCAAAAATATATATACCTAGATATAAGAATAAATGAGATAAATGAAATTAATATATGCTCATTAAATACAATTTAGCAAATAGTGGAGAATAGGGGGAAACAAAACAGACAAAATAACTCTAAAGGTAACTCAGTTTAATATTTTGAGCACTTGGTATTATATATGGGTTTCAGCTCTCTGTGGCTCTGGAGTAAAACCTGAGAAATGACTAAGACTAGGTTAGAAAGGCCATGTTTTACTAAAAAACTGGGTTTCAAAAATAGTGGACCTGAGGGAATCCCCTGGTGGTCCAGTGGTTAAGACTCTGGACCTTCACTGCCATGGACCTGGGTTCAATCCCTGGTTGGGGAGCTAAGATCCCAAACTTCCGTGACTCAGCCAAAAAACTGAAAAGGCAAAACAACCAAAAATCCTCGTCTGTTGCTGGTGGGAGTGTAAAACGGTGCAATCACTGTGGGAAAGAGCGTGGCAGTGCCTCAAAGAATTACACTGAGTTAGGACGTGTGTGTGTGTGTGTGCGCGTGCGCCCGCTCAGTCATGTCCGACTCTTTGCAACCTCATGGACAGTAGTGCTGCAGGCTCCTCTGTCCATGCAATGCTCCAGGTAAGAGTACTGGAGTGAGTTGCCATTTCTTCCTTCAGGGCATCTCCCTTCTCATAGATCGCATCCTTGTTTCCTGTGTCTCCGGCATTGCAGGTGGATTCTTTACTGCTGAGCTACCGGGGATGTGAACCAGCAATTCCAGTAGAGAACTGAAGACCCTTAAAACAGAAATTTGTACAGGAATGCTCACTGCAGCAATATCCATAAAAAGCAAATAGTGAAAATGACCCAAATATCAACCCATCGCTGAAAGCGTAAACAAAATGTATTTTACCCACACAGTGGAATTCTATTTAGACGTGAAAAGAAATGGAGTATTGACGCATGCTACTGCGTGGGTGAACCTGGAAGAGATTACACGGGATGAAAGAAACCAGGCACAAAAGCTCTTATATGGTCCCCTTGAGATGCCGTGTCCGGAACAGGCAAGTCCGTAGAGATAGAAAGTGGTTAGTGGTTGCCAGAGGACTGGGAGAAGGTAGAGTTGGAGTCTCTTTTGGGGATGATGGAAATGTTCTAGAATAAGTGCTAATGGTTGCACAAATCGTGAACATGCTAAAATGACTGAATTGTGCACTTTATGATTTTTATGTTGTATGGATTTTACATCACACACAAACAAAATGCTTTAAAACAACACTGGGCTTTCAGGCACTACAGCATCAAGGTAGGGAGATATTTGGGGAGAGAGCCTGTCTGTGTATCCTTAAAGCAGACCATGTCAAGACCATGTCAGCTCATCTGTTTCTCTTCCTCTTTCATTTTCTATCTGGTTAACTTCCTTCTGGCTTTTTCTTTCTGGGTTATCCCTCGACCTGCAAGAAGAAGGGGTGAGCTCCTTGCTTCTCCTTTTCTGGGCTTTTTTGGTTCCCCTTTCCTTCCTCACTTTCTCCCTCTCCTTCCCCCTTTCTATTCTAAGGCTGTCTGGCACCCACAGGCCCATTCACAGCTGAAGCCCTTCTGGTCAGGAAACTAAGATCCCACAAGCTACATGCTGTGGCCAATATATATATATATATAAAATTTATATATTTTTAATTAAAAATGTCAAATTTAAAACATTGTGACTATTATGCAACACACACACACCCCACAGTATTTATATTCTCATGGCCTTGAATGTCTTTGGAAGAATACCCAGGAAATAGAGAATAGGGAAGGACGTGAGACCCTCAGAGAGGTAAAATAACTTTCTAAAAGTCAGTAAATGGTCTGAACTCACTGGTGCACTCATGTAGTTATTCATTCCTCAGATACTCACAGAACTTACTTTTTTTTAATCTAAAAAATATTATTTTATTGATGTATAATTGATTTACAACATGTTAATTTCTGCTATACAGTGCAGTAATTCAGTTTTATATATATATATATATTTTCATATTCTTTTCCATTACAGTTTATGACAGGATATTGAATATAGTGCCCTGTGCTACACAGTAGGACCTTGTTGTTTATCCACTGAGCATTGTACTTAATTGCAAGAAATAGAAACCAACTCTGGTAGATTTTAGCAGAAGAGGAATTTATTAAAGGGGTCCTGGAATGCTTTTAGAAGTGCCAGGAGAGCTGGGGAGCCGGGTGTGGACACATCACAGCAGGAACAGTGGACACAATGTGGCTGCCACTGCCCCTGCCATGGCCTAGTCACTTCACCTTGTGAGGCTCACCCACTGGGGCTGGCTGCTGGGTGCTGCTTGCAAGCCCCAGCTCCTCCTCCATCTTAGGGTGGCTACCACTGTCCCCAGAGGTTCTGTAGGGCTGCTTCTTGGCATTATTGCTTCTGGATTCAAATTCTAGACAGTGCCTTTGATGAACAGAGCATGAGTGTATTGTTTGCTCCAGAGCTGACAGACTGCTGAGGGACATGCTTCCTGCATTTTCATCTTTTCTCCTAGGAGATGGGTTCTGTTTCCAAGACTCACAGTGAGGAGCTCCCCAAATGTGGTAAAGATGTTTTGATGCTGGGCAGCCAGAGGAACACCTAAAGGTCCTTTTTACATCGATTGTATGAATGATGCAGCTAGACATGGAGCATGCAAAGGTGAGTCACACCTAGAACCTGCTTGCAGACACCTCATAGACTCAGAATTCCCTTCCTTTCAACTTGTAGTTATTTGCCACCACAGTTTGCAAAGCCCTCTCACTCTGTTTCCTTAGATCATTCTGACAGACAAGCTGTGTAAAGTAGACAGAACTGATATTCTCTCTATTTCATCCTTGAAGAAGCTAAGAAGTTAGATGATGAGCCCAAGGTCCCTCTGCCAGTGAGTGGCAGAGTGGAGACTTGGCCTGTCCTCTGATTCCAGGCCCAGTGTCAGCTAGAAGCAAGACGTGATCACAAATATCATGCTTCATTGGTTCCTGGGCATGTGACTTTCCCCAGCACTTTTTTTTTTTATGTGAACAGACCAATCTTCTTTATTTATTTTTAACTTTTCATCACACACATTTTTAAACATACACTGAAGAAAATAATATAATAAACTCCCACTACCCACCATTTCAATAATTATAACTGAAAGGTCGCTGCTATGAGATGTGAATGATGCTGGAATTCTTGGCGTCTGGAGGAGAGGAATTCAATCCAGGGCTAGTGATGAGGCTTGATCACTCAGAACTTTTTGTGTAATAAAGTTTTATTAAAGTATAAAAGAGATAGAGAAAGCTTCTAACATAGACATCAGAAGGGGACAGAAAGAGTGTCCCCTTGCTTGTTTTTAGCAAGGAGTTATATACCTATTAGCAAGCTGCTAGTTAGAGAAAGGAAATACCTCAAAACTGAGAGAGTCGCACCAGGCCTCTCACCAACAATGTATACATTTTGAGATAGTGTTGGCACAACACGAGTCATCCTCGGGCTGTAAAACATTTGACAGGAATCTTGAAGAAAGGCAGATTTCCAAGCCAATACATAGTTCATTAACATAGCTTAAGAAAATATTTCCATAAGAAAAACGCAGTGGATAGCTCAAGGTTTGAGATAAAGTTAAGTTCCAGAGGAACCAGGTGTTGCCGTGACAACACAGGATTAGAAGAAAAAAAAAAGTCTGCCACTTGGAGTTTTATTTCCTCCTGCCACTTGGGGACCTCTGGCCTCCCTACCAAGGATATTAACGCTCTCATTTTCCCATTTTCTCTTAGGAGAATTATGTTGCCAAGGGAAAGGGGCGGTGTTCTCATTCCGTAACTGCTTCTGAGCTGGTAAGGGGTGTTGTCCCTAAATTATTGAGCATAATAGCTCATTTGGTAAAGAATCTGCCTGCAATGCAGCAGCCCTGGGTTCGATTCCTGGGTCAGGAAGATCCCCTTGAGAAGGAAATGGTAACCCACTCCAGTATTGTTGCCTGGAGAATGCCATGGACAGAGGAGCCTGGCAGGCTACAGTCCATGGGATTGCAAGAGTCAGACATGACTTAGCAACTAAAGAGATACTCCTAAGCCTTCTATTGAGGGTCTCTGATTCAGGGACCCCAGGTAATAGTTGGAGGAGGCTGTGGTACTCATAGGAGACTGAATAACCATAACTTCATGCAGCTGGAAACAAATCCAGCGACACAGTTACAGGTGTGGGGAGTAAAGAGCAAAAACAGAACAATCAGCAAAGTTAAAAGTCACATTATGTCCATAAAGGTACAAAGTGTTACACCAGTCCATTTTAGGACTGTTAGATGACATTAGATTAAGAAGAGACATCACATATGATTGTTGTTGGCAAAGGTAGTCGTGGACTTGGAAAAAGTCCCTTCCCTGAAGTGAAGATGTCTACCACGGGAAGCCTTCCATTGATGAGGAGGGGGGCACTCTACAGACCCAGCAATTGGACAGATTGTGGAATGAGGTGTAGGAATGAGCCCAGGACAGGAAGGCATTGTCTTGATGGTCAAACGGCAAACTCAGGATTTTTGGAATCAGCAAAAGCAGGCCCACATAGATTGCGAGGCCCATCTGGTAAGGACCTTCCCAGAGGGGCTTGAGAGATTGACCCTCAGGTCCTAATGTCTTTATCTTGGTTCCTGGCTCAAACAGCATTGTTTGACTCAGAGGCTGGGTCAGGAGTCGCCTCCCAGAGTTCCTGTAATGTCTGTTGAAAAGCTAAAAGTTGAGTTACATAGTTAGTTAATTCCAAGGCTTTAGGAAAACTCTGGGTGTAAGCCTTTAAGAATTTTTCATTGAGCATTTTCAGGAATTATTAATCTTCCATCCTCAGACTGTATCCATCCTTTTCCAGTAATCTTTGCTCCTCTTTTCTTTATCTTTTTAATTCTTCCTCTGCATATTGAGGTTCTTCCTGTCCAACCGGACCTGTCCAGAACAAGGGTATCTGTAGTGAAAGGGGTTCCTTCGTAAAGGAGTTCAACAGGGATTCAGCAGTCAGCCAACTGATTGCCCTGGGCTACTTTACTCCCATCCCACTTGTGCCCTTTGCAATGCATGACAGCTACTTTCTTAGGTCATCAAAAGTCTTTCAATCTCTTTGAAATATTTAATAGGTTCTCCTGTTGCTTTTTTTCCATACTGCAGCATGAGCATGTAAAGTCAAATAAGCAAACAGAGTCAGTGTAGATATTTACTCGCTAACCTTTGCTTAACTCTAGAGCTCCCGTCAAAGCCACAAGCTCCGCTAACTGAACATTCATCCCTGGTGGGGAGAGACTTTGCTTCTAAAACCTGTTCAACTATCTCCATGGCAAAACCTGTTTTCCATTTCCCATGCCAAACAAAGGAACTGTCATCCAAACATTAACTTTAGAGTTTGAGATTTCACTCACATAAGAAGTCAGTACAGTGAGATTTTGCCCATTAACAAACTTAAGAGCTTTAGGTATTAGCAAAACAATAGTAGCAATTACCCTTAAGCAATGTGGCCATAGCCTTTTTCTTCCCCCAGTAACTAATTTAACTCTAATCCTGTGGGCAAGCTCAAAGCCGGAGCCTGCAGAAGAGGAGCTTGAAGAGCCTTAAGCCTTTTTAGTCTCTGGAGACCAAACCAGCTTGTTGGTTTGGGCCTGCTGAGTTTCCGTTATAAGTTTATATAAAGGGCAGACAAGTTCCCCATAACCCAGAATCCGAATGTGGCAACAGCCTGTGATGCCCCCAAATACTCTAAATTGTCTTAAAGTCATAGGTAGTTGATGATTTAGTATAGGCTTAATTCTCTTGGGGCCTATGGCCCTCATCCCTTCTAGAAAGAAAGCATCTTTCAAATCAAAGACTGAAGAATATTTGGCTCATTTAGGAATTTCAGACAATGAGGTATAAAGATTTGGAGGAGGCAATGGCACCCCACTCCAGTACTCTTGCCTGGAAAATCCCATGGACACAGAAGCCTGGTAGGTCATGGGGTCGTTGAGAGTCAGACATGACTGAGCGACTTCACTTTCACTTTTCACTTTCCTGTATTGGAGAAGGAAATGGCAACTGACTCCAGTGTTCTTGCCTGGAGAATCCCAGGGACGGGGGAGCCTGGAGGGCTGCCATCTATGGGGTCGCACAGAGTCAGACATGACTGAAGCGATTTAGCAGCATCAGCAGCAGGTGTAAAGGAACCACAGCCTCATTTGTTTTTTTTTTTTTTCATGGAAAAATAACGTTTATTCTACTAGGAATGTCAACTTATCATTGAGTATTCTCCAAAGTGGAAATTACACAACGCCATTTCAGGAACAGACTGCTCAACCCACCCTCAACATCCACAAATGACTATCACAATAGTTAAACCACATCAAAACAGTCCAACATAATTAGGCTTCAATATACTGAACCATTATGTTCTTCTAAGATGCTAATAAACCAAAACCAGAAATATTAACATCAAAAGAAAAGATATTACTTGAGGCTAATTATCATACAGATTGTTAGTTCCTTGCTGTATCCCATCCAGAACATTAATAAAGGAAATATTTTACTCCAAAGAAAATTTTATTTTATATATATTACTAGTCATGAATTTGTCATTATTACATAAATGCTGTCTAATGCCATTAACCAAATGGCATGACCATTTTATGTCCACAATTCACTTCTGTATTTACAAACAATAGTTTTCATGACTTATAAAAGTATGTCTCTCAGTGAAGGTTTAACGTTGAGATGCAACCTAGCATCCATAATAATATTTGCTGTTCTGCATATATCAATGTAGGACAGAAGTATTTACTCCCCTTTCATCTGGGTGACCTTATGTGGGGGAAAAAAAAGATCAACAATTTACAAGTTCTAAGTCTCCAAAGAAGATTTCCAGATGCACTTAAAGAATTGCTTACAGACAGTAAGAGTTTTAAGAAACATCCTCCATGTCCACATCCTCTTGTAATTTCTGTACCATTTTGTCTTCCAGCTGCTTTCCTTTGCCTGCAAGAGGGGCCCGGATAAGATGGATGTTTTGCTTGACCTCTTTAACGTCCTGAACTTTCTGTAGTTCTTTATTTTTCTTCAACCTGTTCATTATAAATTTAGCTTGTCGCTTCTGTTTGATCTCTTCAACTCTCTTCATTGCATCAATGGTTTTATTCCACAGTTCTCGCTGGTATTTGACAGGTTCATTTCTACATTTTTCAAATTCAAATGAATTATCCACCGTGAGCTCTTTACCAGCTGCTTTCCGGAACGCTTTAGTCCATCTGACCTTGCGAGGATTGCGCTTCTTTTTGAAGTTTTTATGGCACTTGGATTTACAGAATCTGAACACCCTGGTGGCTCAGACCGAAAAGAATGTGCCTGCAAAGCAGGAAATCCGGGTTCAATCCCTGGGTTGGGAATATCCCTTGGAGAAGGGAATGGCTATCCACTCCAGTATCCGCTCCTTGCAATCGTTACGAACGAACATCATGCCGTGGCCTGGGTAGATAGGGCCCGAACAGAAATAACATTTTTCAATCCGCATGTTTAATGCACGTGGAGACTCGCCGGCCGAACACCCAGCTGAAGAGGAAGTTACGTCAGCCTCATTTGTTATTGTGAATCCTGAACTAATCTACATTTATCATTTAACATTTTTATACACAAGATAAAAGTGTGGCATGGACTGTTACAGGGAATTAATTGCCCCGGCTCCTTTAAATTCTCAATGGTGGGTTTTAACCCTTTCTTAATCTTGGGTTTCAGTGAATACTGCTTTTGATGTAGAAATAGGTGAGGGTCATTGGGCTTGACAATGACAGGAATAGCAGTCTGTGCTTGATCCACAGTTTTTCCATCAGCCCATACTCTAGGATTTACATTTTGTTCAATTAATGGGAGAGAAAGAGAGGGCTCCATATTCATGAAAACAGAGGCATGGAGCTTGCTCAGTATATCCTTCTCCAAAGGGGTGAGGGACACTCTGGCACAATCAGAAAGTTGTGTGGAAACAGCAGAATTCCAGTTGCAGCTTAGAGGACAACTGAAATAATAATGTTTGGCTCTTCCAGACAGCCCCATTACAGTAGTGGATCAGGGAGAAAGTGGGCCAGGGGCTTCAGTAAGCATGGAATAAGTTGCCTCAGTGTCTAAAGGGAAATCAACTGATTTGCACTTCCCCCACTTGCCCAGTTATTAATACCTTGGGTTCCTCAGTTATTAATTACCTGGGGTAATTAGGATAGGAGCTTGTGTGGGGACCCCTGGGCACCTTCAATCCTGATTGTCTTGCGAGTCTGACCCCTTGGGCCCATGCCTTAGAGGGCAGTCTCCTCTCCAGTGTGGTCCTTTGAAGACCTGACATGGAGCTGGGGGCAACTTAGACACCTGAAAGCAACCTCACTTGAGATGCCCCTCCCTTCCACAGTAATAGCAAGTCCATCCCTTTTCACCTGGGTCCCTCTGGGCATTTTCCTCTGGCTGTTTTAGAGCAGATCTGAGAGCCATTGCTCAGGCTTCAGTCTTTCCTGTTTTTTTTTCCTGCCTCTTCTCCTCCTCCTACCTGCCATAATAAACTGAGCCACTTGCAACAGGTTACCAAAGACTGATTGGGTTCATACGCCTGTTTTAGAAGCTTAGTGGATATCTGGAGCCAACTGAGTGAGACGTCTCTCTTTTAAGATCATTCCAACCTCTGCAATTTAGGGATCAATCTCAGTGAATCTGTGAAGGGTTTCCTGCAGTCTATCTAGGAATTTACCAGGAGCTTCCTTCTTTCCCTGTTCTGTGTTAGTCAGTTTGGCAAAAAGTCTTAGCATGCACCCACTTGAGTCCTGACAAGAACACATCTGACAAAGTGACTCTGGTCCCCATCTTTCTTTAGCCATGTTATAATCCCAGTCTGACTCTGTTCTGTTGTGGGGACCATCTGATTCCCAGTAGAGAAGGTGGCTGTCTTGCCCTCTCCCTTTTCTGCTGATTCATTACCAAGCCATCTCCATAGGCAACAGCTTTTCCCCAAAACTCAAGTTTGGAGTTGGGCGTTAGTGTCTGTACCAAGACATAGATTATGTCTTTCCAAGTAAGGTCATAAAGTAAAGTTAGTCCCATAAAGGCTTCTATATACTTTTTGGTATATATATATATATATATACACACACACCAAAAAATATATATATATTCTATATATACCTCTAAACAGTCTCAACTGCAATTGGAACTGTTTGAATTTCTACTGAGACTGAGGCAACCCCTCCTGGAAGGCTGTCCTGACTCTCAACTTGCTTAGTTAGGAGCCCCAGAAATGGGCAAAGTAAGAGGACAGGAGGGAGCTGAAGATTTCACACCCAAATCTGCACCCTTAAGATACAAGTCTGGCATGTCTTGCAGAGAGAAAGAGCAATACATATGGCACTTCAGCCTAATTTTCTTGTTTTTCACAGAGCCAGTCTAACTGTAAAACAGTTATTATAATTAAGAGACCCTTCAACTGGCCAGCATTCCCCATCTTCCAAAGGATACTGTGACCATTCAGTATCACAGAACATAAGGCATGTCTTTTTAAACTCTGGAGATCTAATTTGTTCCAGTTTTTTAAAAATAAATTTTAAAGGGGGTGGTTCTGGAACTGCTAGCTCCCATCTGCAAGAGAGAAAAAAGTGGCGTCTACAGCCTTGGCTTTTTTTTTTTTTTTTTTTTTTACTGGAGGCGTCCCTCCCTGCTCTAGATGGGGTGGAGACAGACTTTACACTGAAGCTTTCCTTCCCAGTCAGATTTAGTCTGCCCCTTGCTGACACAGGCTCCTTCCTCGTCCCTGGTTCTACCACCAAGGTGGGGTGGACATGCACTGGGGTAGACCTGATGGCATCCAAGATTGAAGTCCAGTTCCTCACCATTAAAACCTTTGCCTGATTTTTTTTTCTTTCTCTGATGCCACCTGGCATTCAACGGAGCAGCCTTCAGAATGCCTCCCAAGCTCGGACCTCTGGGGGAAGCATCTGTCCTCCATGTGTGAGTGCACGCTCCTGAGCACAGTCCTGATGGCAGTAGAAGTGGTGAGTCATAAGGGGATGAACAACAACCAAGATGTCCCTTCTGAGTGTCACCACATCAGTATATGCGACAGCAAAAGAGGTGGTGATGGGCCAGCCAGTGAGAAAAAAGTGATTTTTGTCCTCAAGCTATTAAGGCCAATCCTTCCAGTTCATTCCACAGATTCCACAGAAAGAATACTTAAGGAGTTGAAACAAAAGCCCCAGAGAGCCTCCTCTGGTCCACTAAGAGCCTGGCGTTATCAAAGGAAGAAGCCCATTGCACTTCCAATCTGACCAGACCCTGCAATTTCCAATCTGTGTCCTCAAAAACCTCATGATCACCAGCAGTGATTCTATCCACATAGATTGGAGGGACAGCCATGACAGAGATACACTTTTAAGTCACTGGCCCCTGAGGCAGGCAGCCAAAAGAGTGACCTCTAGCCTGAGACACGTTCCTGGAGCTGAGCTAGAATTCCTCCTCGTTCCTTAATAGGTTCTTGTAACTTACGGTTCCTAGCAAGGCTAGGTGCTTCCAAACTTGGGATCTAAGCAAAAGTACATAGCAAGCATGGATCACAAATCCCTTGAAAGTCTATAATCTGACAGATTAGGTTAGTACTTCTAATTCCCAGGCAGTTATGAAATGGTCAAAGAGACCAGAAAGTTTGACCAAGAAAGGAGTGTCCACACGCTTCGTTCGTCTCTGGCTGCTCCCGCGGAGGAGTCATTGGGTGCCTCTTCACATGAGCAGGTCGGTATAATCCCCCAGCGATTTCTGCCATAAACTGTATGAGGTTGCCACAGAACTGCAGATTAGGACACAACTCTCGCTTCACATTTGTTTGTGTATTTCTTTCGATCAATCACACACAAGGCACACTGTACATACAGTTAGCAAAGTAAAGCAGAAAATGTGTTTACTAGGAGATCAAAGAACTAGAGCTCTGAATGTCTTCACCTTGTCTTGATCCCAGCCGAGACCCCAACATGAAAGGTTGCTGCTACGAGCTGTGAACAATGCCAGGATTCTTGGCCTCTGGAGGAGAGCAATTCGATCCGGGGCTATTTCCTCCTGCTGTTGGGGACCTCTGGCCTCCCTACAAAGGCTATTAACACTTTCATAACCTATGGCCAATTTTGTTTCATTGATAATCCCCACTCACCCCCACCTCCATCCCTAGTATTTTAATTTAATTTCCCAGAATGTCCTTGACCAGGGGTTGAATTCATGCCCCCTGAAGTGGAAGCAATGAGTCTTAACCACTGGACCACTGAGAAAGTCCCATGTACATCCCCAGTGTTTTAAAGCAAACAGAATTCCCTAAAAAACGGGACTCTAAACTCAATATGATTACATATATGATTACATATATCACATATTATTTCTCTTTCATCACCTCACCAAGACACTAGATACGGTATGGCACCATTTTATGCAAGTTTGAAGTAGCACAACAAAAGCATCAACAAAGTCTCAGTTTAGATGCTAATTACAAATTATTTTTTAAATACCAAGAATTGTGTCATTATTAAAAATTGAATAATTTCAGAGCTGGTGAGCAAGTAAGTCTCTTTATGTTTTTGTCACCACAGCTGCTCAACAGAAATGCCTACCTACCTTCATGATCATTCCATTTGTATGGTTTGGAATGGAATAGTTATCGTGACTATTTTTCAGATTTACACTTGCCATTATTTTAATGTAAAACCGTTTTTAATAGCTCAAACAGTTCATCAAGTACTGATATTTATGTTTAAAAACTAGTCTCCCAGGGACTCCCCAGGCAGTCCAGTGGCTAAGACTTCACCTTCCAGGGCAGGAGTGTAGGCTCAATCCCTGGTTGAGGAGCTAAGATTCCAGATGCCTTGAGGCTGAAAAAACCAAAACATAAAACAGAAGCAATGTTGTAACAACTTCAATAAAGACTTAAAAAGTGGTCCACATCAAAACAAACAAAAAAAACCAAATGAACAAAAAAAACACAGCTCACTGCCATATCAATAACTCTGGAATAGATGTTAATGTGATAAATTGCTCTGAAGAAGGCCAGGCCCCACAACATCCAGCAATGTTTGTTTAGAACACTTCTGAATTTGAATGCCTCTTGGAATCAATGATATTGGACAGTTTATTCAGCAACTTAAAAAATTTCTAGGGGTATGTCAAATGAGGGGCATTTTCATTTGATGAAGTTGTAGATTCATTGTAATGCAGTCCCTAAGATGGGGGTGAAGTGAAGTGAAGTGAAATGAAGTCGCTCAGTCGTGTTCGACTCTTTGAGACCCCGTGGACAGTAGCCTACCAGGCTCCTCCGTCCATGGGATTCTCCAGGCAAGAATACTGGAGTGGGTTACCATTTCCTTCTCCAAGGGATCTTTCCAACCCAGGGACCGAACCCGGGTCTCCCGCATTGGAGGCAGACGCTTTAACCTCTGAGCCAGCAGGGAAGCCCAAGATGGGGGTAGAAAGTGACAAAGGACAGGAGGAGTCAGGGAGGGCTCTGATGAG